CCTTCCAGTAGAGCAGGTTGTTCAGAGCCCCGTCCAACCTGGCCTTGAACACTTCTAGGAATGGGGAAGAAGCTTATCAAAAGCACAGTGTAAAACAGGGACAGAACTGGGAAGGATTCTAGGCTTGGACCTGTTCCTAGTGTTGGAAAAAAAAGCTTCTGGGAGATTTGAATAGCTGAAAAGGGGGAAAAAATGTGATATTCATAGCTGTATACTGTTATAGCCATGGAAAGTCACTGCTCTCAGAGGGTCTCTCATATGTTGTGGGAGAAACGTGGGGAGACCCTCTAGGAGGGAGCAGGTAGTTTTTTAAATTTCAGTGTTATGACACATGGCAATGCCCAGGTGGGTGGTTTCAGTGTGAGCTTTGAAACCCTTTCACCCTGTGCCATGATGTGAAACTTCTTTGATATCCATGTGTTTGATAACTAACCTGAGCCATGCCTTTAAGCTAAGGATGGCCCTAGGGAGCAGCCATGCTCTGTTGATAGGATAACGGGGGATGGCTTCAGCTGAGGGAGGATAGATTTAGATTGGATATTAGGAGGAAATCGTTCCCTGGCAGGATGGTGAGGCCCTGGCACAGGTTGCCCAGAGAAGCTGTGGCTGCCCCTGGATCTCTGGAAGTGTCCAGGGCCAGGTTGGACGAGGCTTGGAGCAACCTGGGCTAGTGGAAGGTGTCCCTGCCCATGGAAGGGGTTGGAAAGGGAAGGTCTCCTTAAGGTCCCTTGCAGCCCAAACCATTTATTGATGATATTTCTATGCTGCCACATGCTCAGTCGTCCTTTAGTGAGGTATTTGAGATGGCTGTGATAGACCTGAACAATGTGAGTTTGTGTCCCAGCTTCATGGAAGCAGCAGCCAGCACATTCTGCCTTTCCCTCAATCTGATCCGTGTGTCCCTTCTGCCCGAAAACAGGGCCGAGCAGGCGGCAGCAGCCCTGAGTGTGGCTGTGGAAGTGGAGATGTTTGCCTGCTGTCAGTGGTCTGGGCTGGAACCACCAGGTAGCCTGGGTTCAGCTCGTGGCCCTCGGTGGAGTGTCTTCTCCAGCTCTGAGGGCCGTCAGAAGTCACTGCGGTGTGTGGCAGCAAATTTAACAACCGCTGGTGCTCGGAAACAAAAGGGGCCCCTGAAATAGCAGTGACTGTTTTTGGTGGGTCTGTTTAGAAAACATGATCATACCCGTTTGCTCAATTTGCATGTCTGAAAGGCTTCTGCTCAGTTAATTGGTGAAATTAATTTCTGCTGTTGTAAACAGAGAGCTGTATTAAGAGCAGAACTGAAGTAATTTTACTTTACATTATTCTGTGTCATGGCACATCGTTTCTTTCTTACTCAAGGCAATTCATTTCGTAGTGCTGTCAAGTGATACTTGGTGTCATCTTCAGTCAATGCGGCAGTTTTGATTTTCCCCTGATGTTTTAGCAGTTTGTTTAGTCCCGTAGATAATGGTCAATGGCCTTGAGTAGTCAAATTAACACCTCTGCGGCACCGCACGGGAGCCGCTGCCGGTGACCTGGGGATGAAAAGCGATGGAAATCGAGGCGGGGAGCGTGTTTTGGGGGATCATTGATGGATCGGTGCGCGCTGGCGGCGGCGGCATCGCCCCACAGCTGACTAAGATGGAGCTGCCAGTTCGTGCTGACCGCGGGCCATCCATCCCTGCGCGGGGATAGGGCCCAGCTGAGGGCCCGGAGCCGGAGAACGCTCCGATCCGATCGCTCCGGCTCCTGCCCGCCCTGGGAGCTGCGGACGCCGCTGATTTGATTCCTCGCCCGCCGTTCCTGCAGGGAGCTGCGGGGCCCTGCCGGCTGTGTCCCCCCGCCGGGGGGGCCCTGTGAGGCAGAGCTGTTGTCAGCCAGCCCCGGTCCCCCCGCCACGGCTCGCGATTGCTGGCAGGTTCCTCTCACTGCACCTCATTTGCATCTGGGACATCAATTAGCATGTTTGTTGAGGCTAATTGAATGAAACTCAATCATAGCTCTTAATTGCTTGACTATGTGAAAAGAAATCACATTAATGCAGCTAATTAAGTGTATGGCGATAGATGCAACATAATTAGGAGCGAAATGTAAAAAACAAGCGATGGCGAAGGTGTGGGGACCAGGGCACCAGCTTCTCCTCTCAGCCACATGTTTGGGGAGGGGTCCCTCGCCTTTGCTGCTTGATTTATTTTTTTTTTTTTTATTTTTTTCCCCCTGCCTTGCTGAGTGATGAACACGGACAAGTTGAGAAGAAAAATGCAAATGGATTCACAATTACTACTTTTTCAAGCTGTTGAGGGGCAGAAGATGGCACGTCTGGGGTGGCCCACTGTTGAGTGGGCTCTAGGGACTTGTTAAGTGCTGTTTAAAAGTACTTGGCTTTGAATTACCCTCATGCCTTGTTAAAGGGTTTTTTCCCCTTTTTTCTCGGATCAGCATTTTCTACAACTAACATCTCGGGGAGTTATCTCTGTACCATTTGCATATCAAAATCTGGCTTGCTGTCTTCTCTTTAACACAGCATATTCCAGATGACAGCAAGACCCTCATCTGTTCTAATCTGATCAAACCCTCCATTGCGCTTCTGAAGCCGCCACATTATTTTGTAGTTTGAAGTTCTATTCCCCGAGCGGGATCTAACGGAGCTCCCTCCGCCGGCTGGGAATGTGGACCTGGCCCCCCTCCTCGGGGGGGGGATGCACAGATTATCGCTATGCATCCTGCACACAATGAAAGAGCCTTTATTATTTACATTTGATATATCCCCATAAATATTTAAGCTGACATTAATACCTACGTGGCATCTGTTGTGCTCGGGCACTTTGGTCTAATAACGGTGTGGCTGCAGCACATTTATTTTCTGTTTGCCAACATTCACTTGCTCTCTCAAATGGTTTATAGCTCACCTTAAGCCTGGTTCAGTCCCAATTAAAAGGGCTTTAATAACGCCCTGTCACATCTCACGAGCTGGCAGGGAAGTCGTACATGCCTTTCATCTGAAGAATCTGGAATAAACACCTCCTTCTGCAGTGGAAGTGGAGCGCTCTGTGGTTGTACATGAAATAAAACATGTCTATTAGAAAAGAGCACGTGCCGAGTTTTAGTCACTCTCTGATTAAGCCTCGTTTTAGAGCCCATAAGCAATAAATGCTCAATTATCTTCTGCTTATTGTATTTTAATTTGCGAAGAACTGACACCGAACAAGAAAGTTCCGCCAACTTGGTAATTTATGGATGAAACACTTTTGTTCGTCTCTGTCTAACACCTAGTAAAGGAATTTTCCTTAATGGATTGCCTTTGTTTCTTTTGGCAGCAGAGCTCTGCGTCCTCTCCCCAGGAATTGCTCAAGCCCCACCTTTTACTGTTAATACTTCTCAGCTAGGGAGAAATAAGCTGATGTGATGGCTTAGTCTGGGGGGTTTATCACAGATTACTGTTAACTGGGAAGAAATTAATGCTGGTCCCAGGTTTTTGATGGATTTTGAGCAGAATATATAATTTGCATTGTAAAAGCTGCCAAAGGTGAAAGAATCTTGATGAGGGAGCTGATTGTTCCCTGTACTGTGGCAGCAGTGATACAGGTTTGGGGTACACTCGGGAGTTTTTGTGTGAAATGGGTGCTCTGGTGGTGTCCAGGTCTGTACAGGCAGTCTGTCATCTAACACCTGTCATCTGGCTGAATCTTGCCCTGATGACTTGGACAAGGGGGAGTTACATCTGAGCTCATGAAGGTGCCCACGGTGTCACCCAGGTCTCTGCGAGGCGATCAGGTTCTGTCTGAAAAGGAATTAAGACTTTTTGCCACCCCACAGAAGTGGCTCAGGAAAACCATTCCCCTGGTCTCCAGCTTAACTCAAGAACTTCAGCCCAGATCTTTTCCCAACCAGTTCATACTGCTGTTCTCCCCTTGGGATGTTTAATCATGGAATCACAGACTGGTTTGGGTTGGAAGGGACTTTAAACACCATCCTGTTCATCTGCTGCCATGGGCAGGGACACCTTCCACTAGCCCAGGTTGCTCCAAGCCCCGTCCAAGCTGGCCTTGGACACTGCCAGGGATCCAGGGGCAGCCACAGCTGCTCTGGACAACCCAGATATCCTTTTGTGCGGTGATCTTGTCCCTTTTCACCCTTGATTTTGTTCTCCTGTGTGTCCCCTCTTGCATGTCCTCTGTAAGACACCATCTCTTTTGTTTCTTTTAGCGCCCTCATAGTTGTTCCAGTTTCAGGCACTTTTTCTGGAATGTGAGTAACCACAACCTTGTGTACCAGGAAATGAGAACTTTGGTGTCTTGTGGTGTCATTCACCATCTCTCCTGGAAATATCTCTGCTGAATGTATCCCAGGATTGCAGCCTCAGTGGCTGTCTGACCTTAATCAATTGCTTTCTGATAAAAACACCATTTTTATGTGTCTATTTGCTCTTACATTTCTTTCCCCATTTGGGCTTTCCAAACAGGAATTAGCAAAAGCCTTTTCCAGGTCTGGCTCCCAGCTTTTAGTGTTTCCTCTAATCAGAAGCAATTTGCATGCTTTTTTCCCTTCTGTGATTTCTTGTGTGGGTGGAAGAAGGGTCTCATATTCTAAGGAAACAAAGTTGGAATTGGCCAAACCTTACGTGCTGGTGCCCTTTTGTGCCTGCTGATCCACTTCAGCCAAATTTGAAGAGATAAGGGCACAGCACACTGGCGGAGAGGAGGCACAAGTAAATGTGCTTGTGAGGGACACTCAGCTTTGTCATCTCTGTTTTGGACCTTCTAGCTGGTGAACTCCTACATGTAGCTCAAACCAGACTCCAGCTGGTAGTTTGAGGGTGTAGTAGAAAGCTCCAGACTTTTGGGATTAATTGTAGTAGCAAGGGATTATCAAGAAAATGGAAGGAAGGGGAAAACCATACAGTGGGTGCTGTCAGCGGATGTAGGGCCGAAGTCTTATGGAACCAGGTTTGTTAATTCTGTTGCTTATAGAACTCCCTGTTTGATGTTGGGGTTTGGGTCTCTCTTCCCTCTTGCCAGGACTATATGCAGAACGTTCACGGGAAAGAAATCGACTTGCTGAGAACCACTGTGAAGGTCCCTGGGAAGAGGCCACCCCGAGCCACATCAGCCTGTGCACCCATTTCCAGCCCCAAAACCAACGGCCTCTCCAAGGACATGAGCAGTTTACACATCTCGCCAAATTCAGGTAAGAGAGCACCATGTTAGGGAAAAAATGGGAAAAAACGGCATTTCCAGTGCCTGCAGGCAGTTGTTGTGTGTGACTGGGGTGGGGATGATGTCTGGGAATAGTGTCCAAGGCCAGGTTGGACGGGGCTTGGAGCAACCTGGGCTAGTGGAAGGTGGCCCTGCCCGTGGCAGGGGAGTTGGAACTAAGTGGTCTTTAAGGTCCCCTCCAATCCAAACTGTTCCATGATTCTGTGATTCCACTCATGTGGAACTTTTCAAGCCCTGGCTGCTGGTCTGTCCTGCACAAGAGGTTCTGAGGAGCCTTCAATGTCTGTAATTGTGTATTTGTTACCTTATACTTGCCAAAACCCTACCTACTTTCACAGAAATTAACAAAGAATTGATGATCTATTAGGTCTAGTACTTAGGAAAAACAAATGCTGTATGATTTGAAAGGGCTCTTTATGGCTTCCTGGTGGGATCCACAGCCCTTCTTTCCGCTTTTAGAAGGATTCATAATTTGGACTTTCCAAGAGCAAGATTCTTCTGTAGAAAGCTGTTCTAATTAGTTTATAGAAGTAGTTTATAGCTCCTTGAGAGCTCTAAACAAAGAAGTTTATTGTTCCCTGAAGTACTTGTCCATACAGCTGAGTGGATTTTAAAAAATTGCATTAAGAGAAAACATTTGTGACAATTTATCTTGTGAAATGTGCAGCTTATAAAAAACTCCTAATGGTCTAGTGGAAGTTCTGTCAGCATGTTTGGGATGGTGTCCATAAAGTGCTGAGTGCCTTTTGCATTTATGATTAACACAGACCCCTCCAGAGTGTGCCAAAAACCCATCCACACACACTCCTGTCCCTGTGCAGCACCCACTGGGAGCAGCAGCCGTGGGAAGGAGCTCGGTCAGCTGGATGTTCAGGAGTCTTCACTTGAATGGTGGTGGTTACCTGATGCTTCACAGAATCCCAGAGTGGATTGGGTTGGAAGGAACCTCAAAGATCATCTCATTCCAACCCCCAGAGCTTCAAGTCAAGGTGTAATTCCCTGTGTGTTTGCGGTGTGTGTCCCCCTGTATTAGGAGAAAATGGAGAAGTTTGATCTCTTCCAAATGGGAATGCTGCTGGTTGAGATAGATTTTGGAAGTGGTGCCACTGAGCAGACACCCCTGCAGTTTGCTTTTTTATTTAGATGACTGGGTGCAGGGAGTGCTTTTGTTTTTCAATATATTTTCTAATTTAGGGAAGAAAAGTGCTGGGCTGAGTCAATAAAGCAGGGGTAAGATGTTCCAATTAGAGATTTCTGCTTTTAAGCCATTTGAACACAGGCAAAAATTACTTGATTGCTCCAGAGAGGTACGTTTTTGAAAACATATTCAGAGATATGTGATAAAATAAATTTATAGCATGGAATTTTCATGGTTTTGCTTATGCTTAGATTGCCAGGTCAGAGGGAGGCTTTCCATGACAGTGCAGAGCAGACAGCTCTCCCTGGCAGGGCTGGGAGCACCATGTGTGTGTCCTGGCCAGCCTGAGGTTTGATCACACTGAGGCAAATGCATCAGTCCATAAAGTGCAAATGCTGGAAAACAGCTCTACTTTTAGGCAGTGGGTTTCAAATAACACTGTGGGAGTAGTTGAAGCTTCTGTCCTCTCTCTTGGCTTCTTCATCATGTTGCTTAGAAATACTGAAAGACTTTGCTGATTTTGATGCCTGGTCAGCATCTGCTGCTTGTTACTGGATTAGAAGCAAACATAAAAAGTAACTGCTCATCAGGAAAGTATTACTTTAAAAAACCCAAAGAAATGAAAATGAGATTAAGAAAGTAGTAGGACACGCTGGATCTGGGAAGTCCCTGCCAGCAGCTCAGCTCTGCATCAGTCCATGTGTCCCTCCCAATGTTCTCGTGTTCAGGTGAGACTGAAGAGCTGCATTGCAGAGAGGGATTTTAAAATAGGGGAATATTAATACTGAAAAAAAAAGGACACTGTCCCAGTCTGTGCCTGGTTTGCTACTCTGAACCTTGCTGTGGTCAGGTATTTTGGTCACAGCTGCTGTTGGGTGGGAGACCTATAGGTACTCGGTGCTCGATTCTGCTGATGTATCTGCAGTTACCTGTCATGCAGCTAGACACCTGCAAATTACCCCTTGCAGGCCGTGCTGCTGTCTCAGAGCTTTTCCTGGGAAAATGTTGTCTTCAGCTTGTGTAGGGCTTGAAAATCGATTACAGGGTTGAACTTGTTACTGGTTTTTCACAGGGAGGTTTCTGTACACGGATCTGTGCGTGGATGAGGCTTGAACCACACAGAAAGAATCAGCACTTGCTGTTTTTAGCTTTAGGCCTGTAAATTCACTATACTCTCACTGTTGCACGTTACGTCTTCCCCAAAACAGTCACATAGTGCTTATATTAAATGATGTCTTCATTTAAAGACATTGATGGTCAGTTAAACACTGTTTGGAAGCTGCCCCTTAAGGATGGATGTCAGTGCCAACTTGGCCAACAGATCTATAAATTAGATGCCTGTTGGATTGCCTATGACTGACATGTTCTAAATTAATTTTTCATGAGTGCTCAGCAGATAGTTTTCTCTGGCTCTTAGTGGAATTTCTTGTGATTCATCTTTCCCAAGGTGCTTCCCATAGCATTGCTATGAGCAGGGTAGAAGGAATGAGGCTCCTCAGGGTGATGCTGTGAATTCAGGAGGGGCAAACTCAGTTATTTGGCAATCCAAGTTGTGACAGCCAAGCAGGAGGTGCAAAGTTTGCTGTTAGGTTTAATTGCCATAGGGGTCACACGCAGAAGATGAAGTTTAAAAGCCTGTCATTCCTAGCACACGGAATTCTGTCGTGCTTTGTGGCATTTCTGATCTGAACATTGTTGTTTTTCTGGTTTTAAAGACTTTGACAAGCAGATATGTCTTAATAACCATCTCTCAGTGACAGTTATCCTAGTCCATAAATGTTTTCATCCCAAACAAAGCAGGTGTCTCTGGGTAATAATCATCTTATCAACAAAAGCCAAGTTCCAGTCCTTGAGAATTTCCATTTCAGAGATGTAAAAAAAAAATGAAGATCTTTATGAGAATAGATGAAGAGAAAAAACCTCCAGATCTTTACTCTTTCTGCTGGGTTTCCACTGACACAAGGGCTGGGAAAATTCTTTTCCCTTGGCATCAGGTCACAGTCGTGGTAGGACACTGTCCAAACTGAAGTGAAACAGCATTAGGGAAAAGGAGTGTTTTGAGTGCTCTGTCACAAAGCAGACGAATGACTAGAAGGTGAAGCTGCTCTGCTGCTGCAAAGCCAGACACTGCCTGGGAAAAGGTTGGCTTTTAGTTGCAAACTGGCCTCTGGGCTTTCTTGGAGGTGCAGTTTGGGGTTTATGCTGAAAGAACTGGGATTCTGTGTGGCAGCTTCTCCCAGAAAATAAAGAGACATGGGGTGTTGTTTTAGTTGTTTTACCTATGTTATATCTAGGCTTGTTAACCATGGCTTTGGGAAAGGTCCCTGTTCTTGTAAACTAACTTGGTGGGAATCTGTGAGCTGGGGAAAATAGATGTTTATTCCCTTTAATCTAAAACTGTGTTACTTTTCTGGTATCCTAGTGATGCTTAAGTAACTGGAATTTAAATTAAATTTATGTGGCACTGAGCATCATTCTGTTGATGCAGCTCTGTTGGAAGTCCTTCAGAAAAGGATAACTCTTGGACTTGCTCAGTTCCAACCTTCTCTAATAATGCAGCAGGGCCAGAGTCCTGTCCATCCCACTGGTCAGTCTCTTCTGGAAGCTGACTCAGCTCTTGCTGACTTTGGAGCAGAAGTTGGGTCCAGGTTTCATTTGCTCCCAAGTTGGGTTGGCTTTGAGCTGATTGACCTGAAGGTGAACTTGTTCCTGAAATCCCTTCCAGGAGTCATTTATTTCTTCTCCTCTCCAAACAACCCAAAGCCTGAGCTGCAGCAAGAGCCACTGATGTAGAAAGTTCACGTCTAAAAATAGCTTATGGTGTAGAGATAAATAGTTTCCTGATTAACACTTCATTTAAATAATTTGGTGCTATTAAATTTCCTTACAGTAGTGACTGTACAGTATGTGAAGTATCCCAAAATGTGTGAGTTCCAGGCCGTCGTTAAGGGTGCTGAAGGTTGTTATCTGCTAACTCTGGGTGACATTTCAGATGCCACAGGAACAGCAGCTTCACATTCTTATCAGTGTGAGTTTTCTGGCTGTTATTAATTGTGATCATCTATCAAATCATCGGTGGTTTTTGTAGACCATACAATAATTTTTTTTAATTGGAGGGCACTGTGAGGATTCAGATGTTGTGATCAGGCTGATGATGAGTAAAAATGTTTATCAAGCCAAGAGCTCACAGGCAGTTGCTCCACAGCGTGTAGATTGTGGGTGCCTTTGCAGACAAATGCTAAACTGAGTCCTAAATCCTTGAATGTGCTCTGAATTCTTTACTTGGAGGTCCCTAAGGTTGTGTACTGGGGCGGTGTGGACTCGACAAAGCCAGGTTTGATCTGGTGTGTTCCCCCAAGTTGGTTGTTGGCAGGTATTTGTCACTTAATTTTGCAGTCTGACGAGGTACGTGATGTGATTGGATTGAACGTGAAACGTGGGGTTTATGGATTTGCCACAGACCACAAATACAAGTTTGTGATTTACTTTTGTCATTAATCACCCGAGTCAATTTTCCATTTGGTTGGGTTTGCTGTTAGTTCAGTGATACACAGCTGCAGCAATGGAAGGAGAAGTTGTCAGTTTGGTCGTTTCCGAGGAAAAAAAGCCCAATTTGAAGTGCATCCGAGATTTCCCTTTCATCCCACTAGAGGGGGATCCCTCAAGGTCATCTTCTCCCGTTCCTGTGGACTAGGATTTGCTCTTTCCGGAGCTAGAGAGCAAGAAACTTTCACCGTGAGTACCCTATGTTCCTCAGTAACTGGGGGAAAGGAGCAGGGCACATGTGAGCCTTAATAAAATAAGTATTTGATAAAATAACTGCATTTGTTAAA